ACAAGCTTCAGCGATAGCATACCCCACATGAATAAGAAGCAGAAAGCTTTTTTTTCTTGGAAAAAAAGCAGAAAGCCGTAGCAATAAAACTAACTTCCAGTGGCGGTGGCTAGGATAGTTAATCTTCTGAGGGAAGAAAGGAAACCAGGATCGATTCAGGCCTGGAACCGGATCCGCAATGGTCCAGTGGCTAGGATTCGACGCTCTCACCGTCGCGGCCGGGGTTCGATTCCCCGTTGCGGAACTCTCTTTTGCCATATCTCTCAAAGACATGCGTGGAGCCAAATATATGCACTTCTTTTGGCAAAAAAAGCCAGCTTTTTCTTCCCACCGTTTTGCGGCTGATTGGTGCAAAAGAAAAAAGAACGTAACGGCAAAAAGGTTGTCCGAAAACCCGGATTTGAACCAGGGACCTAGAGATTACATCGTGGGATCCAGAAGATCCGCCAGCTACAGTCTCCCGCTCTACCGCTGAGCTATTTTCGGTTTTTGATCCAAGAAATTAGCAGCATTGAGATAGCTAGTGGTGCTCACACAAAAAATTACGCGGGTGAAGATGAATACAGTAGCAGGCGTGGGATGGTGAGGGGTTTCGCCAGGATGACGGTCTGCTAGCATACATGCGCATGCGCACTCGGGATGTGGAGCAGCATCAACAAAAGATTATATCGGCGCTTTCCGGTGTTTGGCAGGTTCAGACTTGCAGCTGCACAAGTAGTAATAGGGACTATTGTAGATAAAATAGAACAAACAATGAAAAATAAGGATGGATCCAGTCCACCCGTGCTTATTAAACAGGAAGACGCATTGCTCTTCTGCCCCTAGAGAAAGGGGTATTGAATAACACTTACACATCACTGAGCACTTATATTTCCAGTCGAAAAATACTTCCGCATTGACACGCCATCTCTGTGTAGAGTGGGTGATCGTCTCCAACAGCTAAAAAAGAAACAACTGTAAAAGGTAGAGCGGACAATGCGCGATATCCTTATCCTACTTTTCTCGCTCGCGGGTCTGGTACACACTTCTTCGCCGGCGATGATGACGGTTTGCAAAAAGGGCAAAAGAGGATGCTCACTACAGGGGTCGAACCTGTGACCTACGCGTTATTAGCACGTCGCTCTAACCGACTGAGCTAAGCGAGCCAGAAAGATATCTTTCCCGCCTAAATCCGTTTTCAAAAGCAAAAATAGATACACATAGCCACTCAGTACCTCCAAAATGATCTGATTGGCGGCGACGCTCGATATCCACTCCTCATACACACACAGCTGATAATCCAGAGCACCAAGAATAGATCTGTAACAACCCCAACTACTTTATTTGGAAAAGAGCCGATAAAAAAGGCAAATTTATCTACCCACTCATTCACCAAAATCGTTGGCACTTACAAGGTCGGCAAAGTGGCCCTTCTTTGCAAGCAGCTCGGCAGGGTGACCAACCTCAACGACCTGTCCGTGATCCATCACAACAATCCGGTCGCTGTTCATGATTGTCTCCAGCCGATGTGCAATGGTCAGAACAGTGCAGTCCTTGAACTCGGAATGAATAAGCCTTTGCATGCTCTTGTCAGACTCTGGATCAACATTTGCTGTGGCCTCATCCAGAACAATGATTCTGCGGTTGCGCATCAGCAGCCGGCATAGCCCAACAAGCTGCTTTTGCCCATTGCTGAATGTGTTGTTTATATAGTGGTCCAAGCCATGGGTCTTCCTTTGTGCTCTTGCCAAACGGCTGCCCTTCAGTGTTGGTTTCCTCACAAACAAGTACATGAATGTGCGCATCATCCATCCAGAGCTGTTCCACTGCTGGTCCCATCTTTCAATTTCCTTCTGTATCTCGTCAAGCTCGCTGTTGTTCTCATCATTGTCGTTATCGTTGCTGTCACTGCTTGGCTGCATCAGATCAGCTATGCCGCACTTGGTAATTGCAGACCACATGTCCTCAGCCGTGTACTTGACAAGAGGATCCAGATTCTGCCGAAGTGTGCCATTGAACAGTGTTGGCTCCTGTGGAATGATTCCAAGCTTTGTGCGCACATCCTTGATGTTCATTGCCAATGTGTTGTGGCCATCAATCACTATGGACCCACTGCATGTGCTCTTTTCAACCAGCTGGAACAGGCAGCGAGCAAGCGATGTCTTTCCTGCTCCTGTTCGACCAACAATGCCCACCTTCTCTCCAGGGTTGATGGTTAGGTTAACATCTTTCAGTGCAAACTCCAAATCATGTCGATACTTCATGCTAAAGTTGTTAAACTCAATCTTTCCAAATGCTGGCCAGTCTTTCTCGGGGATTTCGGCACCATCAACATAGAGCTCTTCACGTTTCAAATCAATATAGCCCCTAAATGTGTCAATTTTTTGTTTAAGATATATCAAATAATCTTGTATGTTTACTGCTTCAGTGACACTGTCTACCAAGTCGTCAGTCAAGTCTTTGAACATCATAAACCCAGCTGATGATATTGGTGTTTTAGAAATCTGGTTCTGTGTTATCAGTGCCGCCTCGCATATTGCATGAGATACACCTGCAATACAGGAAACTCTGGTGGATGAGTAACTACTGAGCATGGATAGTGGAATCTGTACACATTGTTTCCTATCCTTTTCATCAATATACTTGGATGTGAAGTGTTTTTCCACATTGAATATGCGAATTAGCTGCTGTCCATCTGCAATAACATCTTCGACTTTGCTTTCGTCAATACTTGCCTCTTCTTCAATTGCTTTAAGAGTTGTACGGACTGGAGCAACAGCTGAGCCCATTTTGTTTTCTGCCCATGCAAAAAATGGAACAAGAACCAGTAGCTGTGGAGCATTTGTTCCAACCCTGTAAAGAATCAAGCAAGCACCAATGAGTTCTGACAATTTCTTCATCAAGCTATATGGAATTTGGTATGATATTGTTTCAATCCCACCATTATACGAATGTGAAATTGCTTGTCTGGTTGTGCTGTCAAAGAATGACAGAGGTGCATGAACAAGACTGTCAGTAAACATGTTCTTGACTCTGGGTTCAAGATAATTTGTTTTCAAGTGGCCATATGCATAATCTTCTATCTTTAGAATTATCTGCCGTACTGCCTGATCAAGCATATCCACTAGAAGGTACTCTAATATTGCTTCTTGACCATTTGCATTCACACCATAGTCATTTCTAAGAGCAGATAGCTTGTATCCATCAAATATAAATGATGTCAATGGCATCACTCCTGCTGATATGATAATCATTATCAGTGCTGGAGGTCCACATACCTTAAAAGCAAAGCTAAGTGTGTCCCAGTTTCCATATGTTCTCTTGTTTGAGTCTAACAGCTCTTGTGGCTCATTGTCACCATCATTGTTAGCACCATACTTGCTATCTTCATCATCACAAGATTCTTCGCTTACCAAGGATAACTGATCAGGGCTCTCCAATTTAGGATCATCTGCAATAGGGCCAGAGACAACAGACTCAATCAGAGATTTTGGTTGATATTTGGCTGGGTTCTGCTGAAGAGTTGTGGTCACAGTGCCATCACTGTTGATATCTAATATGGCATTGACATATGGATGAAGCTTGTTTTCATATGTAGACATTATGCGAATCTTGCCGGAAAG